AGAAATAAACTTGCCTTTTCAAGTGAATTCTCCTTAGTTTTCTTGGGTATTTAAGATTTGGAAGAAACTCATTGAGCTATAAATCCCCCTTCAGTGTAGTTTCAGCACTATTTTACAAAATTTTAAGTATTTATTTTTGACAGAGAGTATGCAGTTCATGGTTGCCACCAACAGAAGTTTGGAACATTTTCACTGACTTCCACCAACTCCATAGGCACTAACACCAAAGTTATGATGATGTAATCTAAAGCAAAATGTGGTCTAGTAGTAAATGTTTCCATTCCCAAGGTCAATGTCAAGTCCGATGTCCAGTTGCTTTTGGTAAAAGTGCAAATAAACGAAAGTGATCATCCACTTTGAATTGTGTTAGATTTAGCCTTATCATCCCCTTGGTCTGATGTTCAAGGATGACGCCTCATTAATATATACACTTACTTTGCTGTATGGAAAAATGCACTTAATGTAAAGAGAAACAGAGCCTATCCATCTTTCTGATAGACCACTATTTGTTATTTGGAAATGATTGCAGTAAGTGTGACTTTGCGCATATTTCCAGACTAGCAGAGCTATCAAGCACACAGCCAGTCCAACAGCAGTGCTACAGAAGCCAAATGTCCAAGCTGCAGGTTAGCAAGCAGCTGGGTAGATGAATCTGTCACAGACTTTTCTAATCTGAAATGACTAATCTGAAACAATTGGAAATTGGAAATTAATGGTAAGGTTCCAAGCAAAAAATTTGCCTTCAAATTTCTACAGTTGAGACTTCACCCCTAATTCAATGTACCTATGCTTCCAGAAGCCACTTATACTACATGGGGTCTGCTGGATTGAGGTGCAGATATGAAAATTACACATATACCCAAATATGTATATTATCTACATATATTGCTTCAGATATTTTTGGCAGTATTTCATACTCCTATGAAACCCATTGCAGTTTGGGTTCTATTTCTAACTTCTCCAGCTTCAAATACTGCATTTTAATTCTACTTAATGAATTAAGTATATTTTAGAGTTATAATAAACTTTTTTTTGTGAAGATATTTCTGGAACATTGAGTCACATTGCTTACTGAGAATAAATACCACGATAATATATTCATATAAATAATTTAAAATCCAAGAGCACAGTAGGTAATAAAAATATATTGCCATGATAAAGCATGAAACCAGAGAACAGCGTTGCTTTAATTAAAAATTACAAACACATTGCAGTAAACAACTTATTTACACATAGTTAAAAGTCTAACGATGTAATATTTTGGACTTGTTGAATCCAGAAAAGGGAAAAATACTGAAACCAATCTCTTCACACAGACAAATACTGAGGACCGTAACTGTGTTTAATTAAGATCTGCTGTTAATAACAGATTTCAGAAAGTGAGTTTCTTCTTTTAATTTCCCAAGGTAGAAAATGTTATTAAATTTAGCCTTTAACTTCTCATTGACATGTACACTTGAAACTTCTGATTAAAATTTCAGAGGTTGGGAAGAAGCACCCAAAATTAAACTCTTAAATCTGGCACAAAAATAACAATGATCCCTGATTAAGAAATCAAATTTCAGAAACTTCATTACTGTTCTAATAATAAATTGTTGGGTTATAATTAAAATGGGGCCTGCTGGATTTCTTTCATTTTTTAATTCTGAAAAAGTTAGAAACTGTAGAGGGAATTAAATACTTAAAAAAAAAGAAATAGGTTAATGAATCTGAGAAAAGTGATCCAACTTGAACAGGTTCCTTTACTTTCTGCAAATGATCATAGTGGAACACAAGCTATTTTCCATCCAAAGGCACGTGTTCAGACTAAACCACTGGCTCTCTTTGCCCCTTCCTTGCTACAACATCCATAGTATAAAACTCACTGTACTTATTGCAGACTTTTCATAGGAGGTCTTGGAGCTGAGAATAGTTGTGAAAGTCAACGTTAATCTAATTTTAAACAGTTATAAGTGAGAGTAAGATTAAATTTGATGTCTACATTATCTAGCTGGACAATATGAGCTTGTGTTTCTTGTTTCCAGAATGATGTGCCTACCTCTACCTGGAGTTTCTTTGGAATGTTAACATCAGTAGATCAGAGAAGATCTGATACCACAAAAGTTCACTGCTAATTAATTGTAGGTAAACAAATAGCCATGGCTCAAGGTACATGCTTTTGAGTCTTATAAATATTGGAGTCCTGTTTTTTTCAGTATAATACATTTTGGCCAGCGTGTTTGAGCTTTTAAATCAAATCCTTTTTCAATCTTCAAAAAACACTTTAAGCTGAAGAATAAGAAAGAAAATTGCTTCAAAAGTACAGCTGTCTTCAGAATTTTTACAAAGTAAGCCATGCTTTTCAAGAGATAAGTCATTTGAATCTGATTCAGATATGCAATGTTCAAGGAATAAATTCAATCTAGATGTGGACAATGGCACAATGCACTATTCATGGTTCTTTTGTAATGCATTTATCATGCTTTATCTAGTAGAGTAACTAAATTTGCTGATTACAAATAATCATCAGCCCCTCCTACAAGGTTTATATGGAAAACTAATTAAAAAAATCCCTGTGGTTAGACATAGCTCAGTTGTAACAGTTTGAAAGAAAAAAAAAATATTACTCTCTGCTGTTCTTCTGTTTGTATCTGTCTACACATTTTGGACAGATAAATACTTTGTTGGGTTAGGTGTACATTGTTCACACAGCACACAAAATCAAATCTGGTATTTGTTACTGCTTGCAGACACAAAACATTACTTATCCATGGTCATCAATATTTAGTGCAATTGCAATATCTCATTTAAAAGAATGTATTGTGCCTGCTTGGCCTTCATTTTACCAGTATAATCATACCAGTGATACTGATGATATAATTTATATCAGCATAGTTTGAGAACCATGTAGCCTGTTATGAATTTTTTGTAGAAGTCCTGGACGTATGCCTAACCACACACCTGCTTGTAGGAACTATTCTGACATAGTACAGGTTTCCATTTTCACTGCTAGTAGCTCCATGTTTCAATAATACCTGCCAAGGTTAAAAACATCTTTTAAAAATGACGGTGTATGTTTTCCTGTTATTTTATCAAAAAGATATACAGGCAGTCAGATTAGCCTTTCCTGAATCATTTTACACATTTCCCAGATTTCCATCACATTTGCTTATTTTCCTCTTATACAGCCACTTCCATTTACATATTTGCATTTCCGTATTTGATCATGCTTTATTCTCAATTCAATCTAGCTTATTTCTGCTCTTTGTTTCTACACATGGAGGGTAAGAAAAGAAAAATCTTACTTTTGGCTAAAAACCTTCCAGGTTTTGGCCATGCTGGTATGGAAAAACTTCTGGGAAAATTCCATTTAGATTATGAGCTAATTATAGTCAAGATCTGAGAGTTTCTTTGCAGCCAGCTGTGAGATGTTGTGCACTCCAGAAAGTGTTTATGTTGTTCAACTGGTTACAAACAACACTCAAAGCCAACAGAGCTTTCAGTAAGTCATTGGTATGATTTCAGTATGAATGCAACTATGAGAAACTCAACAAAATCAGGAGGTCAAGGGGAAAAATTCAGCTAACACTTTCTGGATTGTTGGTTTTTGATAACCAAATCCTTATACTTTTTCCTTTTCTCTTTTAACATCATAAAATCAACTGTTACATTCATTAATACAACTTCTCTTATCTCCCATAAAAATAAAGTTGTGGACAACTTCAACATGTGTGCTTTTTAATATGTATGCTTTCCCTGCCCATGGCAGGGGGGGGTTGAACTGGATAATCTTAAGGTCCTTTCCAATCCTAGCTATCCTAAGATTCTATGATTCTTAAACTCAGTCCCAACCCCAAAGAGAAAAAATATCTTTTCCCTACACAAACTGGGTTCTGAGTAACGCTGCTGAGGTATTTCTGAGGTGATGCAGAGAATTGAAACTTGTAATTATCTGCCTTGTCTTTTTCCTCTTTCCTTGGTAATAAACACACTTGTGTAAATTCACCTCATCATTCGAATCCAAGGCTGTCAGTGAGGCCATTTGTAATGGCATGTTTACCATCATTAGTAACTGACACAGAACATCTTCAATATCAGAAATTTGTTTTTTTTTATAGAACATATATCAAACCTTCTTTAAGAAGTACACAATCACTGTTAAATAACCCTGTGATAGTAAAGAAACATGCATCTATGGTATAGATTGACAGCGCACATTGTTTAGGTAAAGCTTTGACATAATTCTCACAAAGATCTTTATACTCGTTTATATACATTTCTATCTAGGGGAAATTAGATTCACAAAGAAGAATGAAAAAATAAACATAGATATAGATTCTAGTTATAGTGCTTAACCTGCAACACTCAAATGCTGAGAAAAGCTGTCTGGAAAGTTAATTTAGTATTAGGGAAGAAAGTGGTTTACCTTCCATTTTTCAACAAATCTAAAAACCAGAAGACCAGAGCAGGTGGATCAAAATGTAAGATGATGGCGCCACTTAAATACCAAGTTTTAACTTTACTAAAAGCTTAAACTGTAAGCTTCAGTGTTTCACTGAGAAATAATTTCTCTGCCCTTGAACGTGGATGAATGGTCATTATTTTGCTGAGGGACATTATATAAATGATCATATATTGACTTAAACCATATGTAAGACATAATTATTTCTATACACATTTTCAATGTTTACATGTTCTTCTGGCTCTCATGAAGGAAAAGGAATAAACAAGCAGGTTAAAAGTAATTTCGAAACTGTATGCAAAGCTATGTCTAATGCTTGTGGCATTCAATTGTTCTACTGCAGCAATCTCATAGCCCAGAAAACTACTTCCCCCTGTCTACTGCAGTCCTTTGTTTCCATATTAAGTCTCTCCATTGCAGGAAAAAAAGATAAATTGCCACTTCGTATTGCGGTATTGTGTAAAACAGCAACTCTAATTCTGCACCGGTAGGCAAATTCTTGGGCACAAAAGGCATACTCACTTTCTGATGGATGAAAATTAGAGGGTACTGCACTCACCTGATAGTCTGATGTTGCAAAGTGTCTGGATCAGTGGCATTTACCGTTAACACCTTGCTGCCAATAGGGATATTTTCTAGTTTTGTCACTCTCATCGGGTTCGGGTGGAAAATTGGGCCTTCATTCACATCTTCAACAGTGATCTGAACTGTTGCTGTGGAACTGGGGCCATATACTATGTCTGGAACCAGTGGGTCTTCATTTTCCACTTTGATCATCAGCCTGTGAAATGCCGAAATCTCGTAGTCTAAAGGCTGTAAAACATATAATAAAATCAGAGAGCAAGGTGCTAGGACAATACTAACCACTTTTTCCTTGTACCCCATTGCAAACTTTCAGAAGATAGAATTAGCCAGAAAAAGACAACAGCATTCCTTACATCTGATACATTGTCAGAGTTTAGCATTAAACACAATGGCAGTTTTAAAGTGCATTTATGGTAATGGATATAATAGACAACGAAAGATGGAGATGTCCCTCTATCCAAGACCATATACTTTTTTGCCACACCTCATACATATAATTCTCATATATTTGTGGTGTAATATGTATTCAGCAAACAGATTAGTCATACTTAGTAGCTACATATGTTAAATAACTTATGTTTTTTTTCTCAAATCCTGTCTTGAAATCAAAAGCACCCCTATGGAAATACATGCCATTTGTCTTAAGAACTGAATATGGAGTCAAACAGAGAAAATTCTGATAGAGGCAGCAAACAGCTAATTTCTTTTCTTTTTTTTTTTTTTTCAAGTGTGAGGTATAGGATTATCTTCAAACAAAGACAGGCAATAAATTATGATTTTTTTTTTTCATGAGACTTTACAAACAAGGGAACAAAAATAGATCCTCAGTCAGAAGGCACATCTCTTTATTTCCCTGGTGTTAGCATCTGTGTTCTCTGAGAGCAATATATGGCCCTTGAATTCTAATCATACCCTCAGTCACAAACAAAATAGTCTCACTATTAATTGCGATGCTCACCTAAAAGCCAGCTGTTATTTAAGCACAATGGAAATATAGCTAGCAACAGGCGTGTCTTTATGACTAAAGAAAAAAGGTTATTGTGAGAGAAGGGTTATACATATTGTTTGGACAAGGGCTGGTAGACAACTACATGTTTTTGAGTAGCTAATCCTTGCTGTGTGTTCTCCTATGCAGTAAATCCAATGGGTGGACCTACCAGTAATAATATAGTAGAACAGCAAACGGTTCTTACTTTGACAACTGAAAGCATTCCCTCGTTATTCTGGGGATTGGTACGGATTTCAAAACTCTGTCCTGCATTTCCATTAATAATGGTGTAGAGAGCTCTCCATGCTCCAGTTGCTGGGTCATCTTGGTCACGAATGGTTAAGTTTACTATTACACCTGTGATTCCCTCCTTTACTGTAGCAAGAAACTAGAAAAAAGGAAAACCAACATAGAGGAAATTGTTATTGTTTTCAATTAATGACCACACATGCACACATGAAATATCCAAGCCAGCATTAATTATTTACCACAACAAGAGAAAGATGTAATTCTTAGCTGAAACGGAATGTTATAGGCTCTAAATAATACATTCTCACTTGTGAAATATAAGGTAGCACATTGCAGGTACTCTCCATTAAATAGATGGGAGATAAGCAGCAATGTAACAGGAATCAAGCTTTCAAGATTCTGATCACAAGACAACAGTTCATCTCAAATTACTGGAAAAGTGAACCCTGAAAATATGTAGTGTTGCGTATGTGCATATGCTAACAGAAAGGAAAATATACACATAGCTAAGCAGAACACAAACTCACAAATACAGACTATTCTTGCCCTCAAATGTACTATTATTTACAAATAATCCAATTTTGCATTTCAGACTATTATTTTCATAAGTTACACCACACATATTATTTTTTCACTACACTGTTATCAATACATAAAACATTTTTTTACAAAAATTGTTACCATACTGGTTTTGGAGAGGATTCTCCAAGAGGCTACAAAGTAATTGGACCTCATGCTACCACTCTGTCTTTATAAGTTAAAGTCAGTGTTAGTTTCTTCTTTCAGTGGAAGAATTTTTTATGATCTTTTTGCACTGCTGTACTATTCAGCTAGCCAAGCCCTATGAGAAAATTCTAATTTACTATCCAGACAAACAGTGTACAACATCAGTCTCATTTATGCAGGAAAGATATTAAGCAAACCATTGGAAAAGGTTTTAGGGGTCAGACTTAATAATACTCCTCCCCTCTCAAGTACTTGAGGCTGACACGCTAAAAGCATTGTATATGAATGATAATACCTGCTTTGTAGGTGGATAAACCAGAATGGTAACATACTTAGTCCTGAAAAGTGCTGAACACCAGCAGTATCATTATAGAACATTAGAAAATCTTCGCACTTTTAGAGGTCAGGCCTTCAAAACTCTGAAATTACAAACTTTAATGGTGCAAACAGTCTTTCCTGTACATGATTAAATACCACGTTGCCAGTGGCAACTCTAGGGCAAAAATTACCCAAGTGGCTTTAGGACCTAAATAGACTAAACATCTTTGTCTCATAAACTGCATGAAGTCATAACACTACAGATTTTGTGAGACTATTAAATCCAGAAAATAGCATTTTATTAATATATGGTTTTCGCAATCTAGACAAATACTAGGCAAAATGGATTTCCACATAGTAAAGTACAGAGGAGAAAACTATGTCTTTTTCTGTGTTCAGTTATCTTTGTTTTCATTTTTTCCGATAGATTTGACTTATGTTTCTAAATCCTTTTTTAATTTAGATGTATAATTTGAGTTCATGCATTCAGTTCAAGCTTTCCAGCCTCAGACCTGATGTTATAAAAGGATGACATTAATGACTGGCTATTTCTATCTTCTTTGGTATATTTAACAAAGAATTTAAAGATTCTTTTGATTTTGATCATTAATATGTAACAGGTTGTGATTGAGCTTTGTTTCAGACAGATCATTAAGCTCATTTGCAGTTTAATTAACTCTAAATGACAGTATAACAATATTCTCATTTGCGTTAAAACAAATCAAAAGAAAATCCTTTATTAAGATTCTTGGATATAACACGGAATTATTACCATGATTGTATTTCTTCCTGCTCAGCAAAATGCTGTCACTGGAAAACACTTGGACACCTTTTACTTTAATAAAAAATAGCTAATTAGCCTGATGATAGATATTTTTGTATTATTTCATATTGTCTCAGTTTGAGGATGTACAAAACAAGACATCAGAACCATAAGGGCCAGAACTTTTCCCAACAAGTGGTCAGTACCAAATAATTCCTATTCAGCCAAAAGGTGAACTGTAAAAAGGTGACTAGACTTCAAGGAATGTAAACCTACGGAACAGAACCCTTAGATTTCACTGTGCATCTGCTCCTATTTCATATTGATCCTTCTGAAAGACCTTTTCCTTAATCCACAAGTCTGAGTCAATTAAATGTTCAATACTCCCTGCATCACTTTGGGATCAGTAAGAGCTGTTAGAGTAAAATACTTACAGATCTGGCTGTTTTATTCTGACACATAATTGTGAAGCCAGTGAGATGAATTTATTATGCTTACCCCACAAGTGCCAGACTACGATGGAAAAGGTTGCCATGATGTGCCAGCTAGTTCAAAAAATATGTTGAATGTCACTTTAAAAATATCAAGGTTATCTCAGCTGGAGCAGGCTTTCCTTTACATTCCTACCTTTTCCTCATTTAGGAAGGGCTTTCAGTAGACTCAGTTGCAGTGAGTTAGTAGTAGAAAGGGCACATAAACTTGCTGAGGGCATAAAACTGCAGAGCTTGTGACACCCGCAGATCAAGGAAATGACTATGGCTACAGGTAAAGACTGTGCCAAGCCAAAGAATTCCAAATGTAGTGGTACACTCTGAGTACTCTTTGCATTTAGAAATGACCATATAAACACTGAGGGTGTTTGAAGCTGTCTGGAACATTAGAAGAAAATCTGTTCAAACTGGATGAAAAAGCAGAATGATCAAATAGCAGAAGTTGTCACATGGACCTGCTCTAAATTTATAATGTGAAACGTGTCATAAATCACAGATTTGTGATTGCAGAAGACAAATATCTACTGTGAAACAGAGAGGCCCAAAAAAATACAGTGTATATTATCTAGAAGGTGAACTCTTTTGCTTGTTCAGCTACCTTTATATTAAGGATAAGCTTCATAGTATTTAAAAAAAATCTGTTATATTTATTCTGGGTCCCTTTCAAAAACAAAACTATGAAAGGACAAAAATAGCAATTAGATTTGGAAATAGAGAAAAGATAACAAGAGGCTCATCATATTTCCAAATGCAAGGTTTATATTCTCAAAGCACAGTGCTTAACTGGAGAATCTGATTCAGTGCTCTAAAATAAAACCCCATAGTGGTTAACATAAATAATTGGATCACAAGTTAATTGATTTTACTCTTTTTAAATATCTTCACATTCCCTAAGCACCAGTATAAATTAAGAATAAAATAGATGAGTTCTGTACTTTATTTAAACTGCTATTATCTGGACCCATTTGAAAAAAAACAACACAACCTTACAAATACCTTGGGCCAGAGTTGCATTTGGCTGGAAGGAGCTCTATACACTACACACTTACTACTACTGAGCATTTGAATATGCAAGCTTAACTTGCTCTGTGGAGTGATATGCTGTACTGTCATTTATTGTGCTTATCACATACACAGCTTAGAAATTTTAGTAATTCTGTTGTATTTAGAGTTTTAAAAATATAGGGAAAAAAAAGAAGAAAAAGACCTGATTCCTCTTTTTCTGTCCCAAAAAACTTATGTAAAAGGATGGAAAGACAGACAACAAACAGATCACAACTGAGAATTAAACAATGAGTGACAGATAGCTGCCAGCAGTTTACACTAATCATCAGGTTTTTGTAGGCAAAGGGGGCTTTTACCAGGGAAATGAAAGACATCAAGGAAATATAGTTATGCATGAAGATTTCCTTCAAGAATGTGAGGATAGCTTGTGAGGAAGCAAAAATAGACTTGAAAATGTAAGGAGCAAGCAATGTTTGCTGTCATGATGAACTGATGGGAAGTAGGTATTGACCACTGGACATTGTTGTGAAAGATCAAAGAGATGGTTTTACTGGGCATGGAGGTCCCTGAAGCTGGAAAAAAGCAGCTTACATTTCTTACAACAAAGGACTCAGAAAACAGATAGCAAGGAGACAAGCATCTACACACCAACTTCATCTCAGCCTCAAACAAAACTGGAAACAGTACCTAACCTGTATGAAAACTGGATTCTTGTCTGACAGCCTTATTTAAAGCTTCTGTAATAAGTGAGATTTTATTTACTGGCTTCTCAGAGCAGAGGAGCAAATGAACTTAACTATATCAGAATCACCGGAATGTCTATTGTCCAGCAGCAGCATGAGCATGCACTAATAAGCTTGATACCTTTATGAAGTCACTGAAAAACTGTCTCAGAGTGGGGTACTGCTATACCCAAATTAAAGAGCTGCCACAATCAGCAAACACAATGCAAGATAAATGTGTCTGGGGTTGGTGATTGCTACCCCATGGCTCATTAATATTCTGCATGCTGTGATTCCCAATCAAGAGCAAACAAATTAAAACTGCATGTCCATTTGCATTTGTCAGGGTGATATTCCAGTTGAGGGTATTTTGCACTACTATAATGTTTCTCATCTATATATCAAAAGAGATGAAAAATATTGGGATATATTAATTCTCATGTCTCTATCAGAAATTCCCCAGGGAAATGGTATTATTGTACTTGTCCTTCACCCACTCCATGGGTGACATGGATTAGTGTGAGGTGTCCCTGCCCATGGCAGGGGGGTTGGAACTGGATGATCTTAATGGTCCTTTCCAACCCTAACTACTCTATGATTCTGTGATTCTATAAATCCACTGCTTTTGTAACCATTTTTTGTCTCTCTACTTTCTTGAAGATATGAAGACAAGCTATACAGTCTCTTGCAATCTGATTGCTCTTCGTGTCTTTTACTTGGCACACTGTCATAATGTGTTTACATGAGTGGCCAGTATTTATTTGTTAAGGAAACAGTGTATTTACCATAGCTCTGTGTCTGGAATATCCACAAGGACAAATGAATTTTCAGAGCAATCAGAAAGATCTGCATTCTCAAGCAATCAAGAATGAGAATCATAAATGTCAACAATGGACATTTCTTGTGGAATTCACTGGGACATAAAGCCCATTTTGACAGCTAACAATAAACCAAGTAATCTGGCTCCTGGAGCTCATCAGGTTTCACAAACTAGGCAGGTGAAGTACTAGGTGGAAACATGCAGCATAACATTTGTGCATTAAACAAAGTAAATATGATGATTCTTCATCTCAGCACAATGACCAAATGTGCTGTGATCCTATCAGGGGCTGAC